TTCGGCGGGAGACACTCTATAAGGACGCTGTCTGACAGGCGGATAATCACTCGTATCGATTTTATGTTTTATTTCGCCAGAGACAGGGAAGCTCTTTTTCTCAAAGTCGAATATATCAGAAAACTCATTTAGGCACGTGAGTAATCTGTTTTTCTTTGTTTCCTCCAAATCAGTAGAAATCATTGAAATTAAACATTCTCTCACATCTGGGGAAGTTACTTCGTCTTTTCCAGTTATTTCAGAACAAGCGTCAAGATTAGATATGCTCCCTACTTCTAGATCTTGCATTGTTCCTATCTTCATGTCCGAAGGTATCACTTGAGACTGGTGAGTACTGTTAGTCACCCACAACACCGCTCTGCCATGTAAGAACCTAACGAGGGAAGAGGGAATAAAAAGTCCTTTTTCCAACTGCAGGCGTTTGGAACCTGTAACGACTACATCTCTGCTGCCAAATACATCCTGGTTGGTGACAACTATCTTGCCAAAAGATTTCGGCGGTAGGACACAGTCCATAGCAGCACAAAGTTTCAGGTCTTTCCATTCGTAGGATTTTTCAGCTTCGCTTAAATACAATTTGTTTTTCCCACAATCTATAATGGCATCTGTGTCTCTGAAGAAATCCCAGCCCAGTATAACATCGTGGCTACATTCAGAGGCTACTACAAAATAAAAAATAATATCGAGTCCTTTGATTTTAACTTCTAAAGAGCACTTACCAAGGGTCACGATAGGCTTCTTGTCCGCGGCTCTTAGAAGTGGTCCATTTTCTTTAAAAACTGGAGCCTTTATAGAACGTCTGAAAGCTTCGGAAATTACTGAGTAATCAGCGCCAGAGTCCACAAGAGCTTGTACATTTCGTCCTTGTATGTTGACAGATATCCAGTTTTTTTCCATTGTAGCGGCTATACGGCAGGGAGAATTTTCGTCTGTGGCGGCCACACCTCCAGAGGGCGCGCCATCTAGTTTTCCTCACTGCGGCGACTGGGTGAGCGGCTGGGACGGCGAGCAGGGGATTGTGAGGTTCTTCTGGGAGCTTGGAATCTCCCGCGGTGGGGATATGGCGACGGGTTTCTAAATCTTCCTTGGGATAGTTCGCTTCCTGATTCGCCCATGGTGTAATTTTCCGTTCTTGGTCTTCCGAAATCGACTGTTTCTCTTCCAAGTCTGGCATCCGCAAAAGCTTGACGTCTGTCTCTGCAATAACGTGCAACGTGGCCAGGGCGCCCACAGTGGAAGCAGATCGGTCTGTCATCTTCAGTACGCCACTGAGTCCTTTGATTATTTGGTGGCCCTTCGGTTATTCGTCGGTAACCTTGATCGTTCTGGGGGAGGTATTGTCGCCGAGGGCGGAAGCTCTCGGGCTGACGAGGGGCAGAGATAGGAGCAAATGTTTGCTGGATTTCACTACGGATGACATCCCGTAGGTCGGGGGGTGGAGTGTCGATATCCTGGGCGGCAAATGTAGAAGGAGGAGCCATAAACTTCTGAACCTCCTCTCTTACTATTCTTCTAATCAGGGCTTCTAGGTTCTCAGTTTCAGCGGTCGAGATGGTGGTAACATTGGGCAGTCGGTTGAACCTGGGCGGTGCAACACGCATCCTCTTGAATGCCTCGAATCGGCGGCAGAACGCAACAAATTGGTCCACCGTGCTGATGTCCTTCCCAACAAGTGCCTGATACACTTCCTCCGCTACGCCTTTAATCAGGTGGCTCACCTTTTCTCCTTCCGACATTCTGGGGTTGCTCTGTTTACAAAGAAGGAGGACTTCTTGTATGTAGCTCTCGACGTTTTCCCCACTCGTCTGCGCTCTAGTTCGAAGAATGTTCTCGGCTTTTCTAGCCGTGTCTTCCTTATTCCCAAATATTTCACAAAATTTTATCTTAAATTCCTCCCACGAATTCAAGATTTCCTCGAAGTTTTCTAACCAGCACTTCGCTGTGCCAGTGAGGTAGAAGATGACGTTGGCCAGACACATGGAGTCATCCCACTTGTTGTAACGTGCCACACGCTGGAAGTCGCTCAGCCAACGCTGCGAATCTTCCCCACGTTCCCCCGAGAAGACAGTGGGATCTCTCCACCGATGGCAGAATGGTCGGTTTTCTTCTCTTTCCATTTTCTTCCGAGCAGCAAAGGCAAGCACAGTAGATAGCTCTTGTTGTAATCCTTGAAGGCGACGACTTCGTCTGGTGACTGTCTGGTTACCCGGCGTCTCCACCACAATTGTCGCGAGGAAAAATAATTAACTAGGCCTTCGAATTACTTTAAATTTTTATTTAATGAGTTATATGAGAGATTTCAAATATAAAATAAGAGTTACTATTTACATGAGCCAAATCGACCCAGCCGTTAGAGCAAGAGGGGAGAACTGAGATATTTCCTCCTTCCACGTGACGCCACTGTTTACCCCGACCGGTCGGTCCAGATAAGAGGGAATACCAGGAAACTCTGTCCTCCTGACAATATAGTTCCAGGATATTAAAGGGACAACTCATGTACAACCAAGAATGTGTTTGTAAAGAGAATCATTTTAATGACCATCGAACCTTATGGACCGAAAGATTACTACTACGAATCTACGAGTGGCGCTATATGATTCTAGGGTTTCGAACCTCGAAAGAAAACAAAGTACAAGTAATATGCAATATTATTAATATACTCAAACATAATTCAAACGTTTCTTTTACATATTCAGGTTACTTTTATAACGTTTACCTAGAAAATGCATTCACCTAAACAGTATTTATTCAATCGTATTAATGTATCAATATATTAAATTTGATTTCAAAAGGCTCGTGGTATCCTTTGTTACGCACCAAAAAGAAAGTTTTTATTTCTAATTTTTACCATTTCCTGCATTCGTAGTAGTATTCAAGATTAGTGAACGTAACAAAGGTGTTTAATTCTACCAATTTATACTTTCTATAGAGTATCAAGTACAGTACTTACCAACATTTTTGACTAGTGCCACACTGAAAATTATATACATTTATGCCATTACAATAAGGAACTTTAGAGAAAAAATAAAGAGCCATCATTGATTTGAAACTACTAGACGAGTGACCCGGGAGGAATGCCCAGATTTTCACCTAGTGCCTTTTATTTGAACAAGTATTCAGTGTATTTCAGTTATATATCAAAATACAAATAATCGCACCCATATATATTTTAAATATAGTCTATATAGTTTAATATCGTCAAGATTAAATGTCCTATAGGCTAGTTGAAATTCGAGTTATTAATTAACCTTTTCACATTATAATCACCATTATCGGTTATAGAAGTTCCGTACACATCAACAACACTAAACTGACCTAATTTTACTTCCATGTATATAGACAGAAAAACGTATGTTCTTCGACCACATCGTGTTAACGCGATAATATGAAATATTTCATTATTCAATATTTAATATATGTAAATAACATCAACCAAAATGTATTCAGTTTCCTTGAATCACAACAACAGCTACAACAAAAGCTTTATTAAGGGATTCCATCTCTTGTGAGGATTTGCCATTTGAAAAAATTAAACCAAATATTTACATAATTACGAATCTGAGAAGAGAGGTGTTTTATATATACATGTTCTTACTTTTATTTTGTGAGGCTATTTTTCCAAAAACCGCTTTATGATAGTTTTATATTTCTATACCTATATTTTTCTTTTCTGATAATCAGTTTAACTGGTTCAACATATATCTGATTAATGACCTTCAAGTTTTTCCATCTAAATACAATCGGATAGACAGTGCGACATTTCATTTGTAGTTTTTATTCCATTAACCATAAATTGTTTCATTTTTGATGATTTTAAGGTAATCGTCTTTAAAGTGAGTGTTGATTTAATTCGGACTTGAATAATGTATCCTAATATGTTTAAAGACAGATTTCAAGATAAATATTGCTCAGGAATTGTAAAATGATTTATAAACAGAACAAGACCTCTAGTATTCTCGTTGAGTCTTGCTGTATAAGCTGTTCTGTTTTTGTTCACAGTAATTTTGGGAGTTCTTCTTTAATAATCTCATAGTTTATTATATTATTTAGCCATGGAAATCTGCAATGGTTAAGGAGTTCAAAAAATATTTATATACAGTCCATTAGGTTGTATAGTCGATATAGATATTTCACGTAATCTGTCCCAGTACAGCTTAGGAAATCTGTTATTATTCATTATTTGCATTCTGAGAGAGAGAGAGAGATAAAATATTTTAAGGTTAATTAAGTAGAATTTAAAACGAGTGATACTCTGCCAATTTCTAATCATATTATATGTCCTGGGGTGTATCTAGGTAATTTACGAATTTTTAAAATAAAACTATTTTGTATTTTTAATCAATTATTTTGGTGTAATCACAATCCCAAATAGGTGCTGCATATAATAATACCAGAAGAATGACCCGGCTTCGCTCCTTCATACTGAAAGTACATCAATAATAAATAGTAATAAATAGTAGAAGTGCCATAGAATAGCAATACAGAAGAAACACATAAACTACAGAAAAAAAAAAGTGTGTAATGGCAGAAATTGTACTATATTAGTGTTTAGGTATTTGATTTAATTATTTTTTGCAATCCATTTAGTTGTTTCAAAATTAATATAGTTTAAATAAACGGTAGCTTTTCCACCAAACCCCCATTAACCTTTGAAATTGCCTGAGTTGAGCGAATGACTGTAAAGAATTCTGACTGCGATGCCCATCTTCTCAGTAAGAATAATAAAAAAAAGGTTTATGAAATAAATTAATCCAAAATACTGGCATGTAAATATTTTTCAGTCAAAAATAAAAGAGCATATGGAAATATTAGGCAAACATATGTGCTCGCTAAAGAGATTTAAACAAAAAAGGCCAGAACAAAAATTAATAAAAAATATGAAATTCATTATTTACATACATTCACAAAAGCAAACGATGACAGAATTGATGACTCTGATACTTGTATATTCTAATAATAATAATAATATAAATGAGTTGTAAAAATTGTAAAAAACAAAATGCATCGGCCGGAAATCGAACCCAGACCGCCCGTGTGGAAGACGCGGATTCTACCACTGACCACCGATGCTTATAAGAAATGGCCATATTAGGGTATTTATTCTATTCACAAAAGCAAACGATGACAGAATTGATTGATGACTCTGATACTTGTATATTTTAATTGATTTAATTATTGCGTCAAATAGCTTGAGTGCTACAATTGAGGAGTTAATATTTTGCATTTTTATTAATCTGAAATCTTGCTCAGTGCGCTATTAGTTTTTGTTTTGTTAAAAGTTGAGCCAAAGGAAAGAACAAATGTCAGTATTTGACGCTCATGCTTTGGCAAAATACAAGATAATTTAACTAATAATAAGAAATATCAAATAAACTCTAAGAGAAGAATTACAAAAACTATAACAAGACACAGAACGAAACACTATAAAGGAATGACAATACATCCAGGTGGCATAATAACCTATAGGACCTGCAACAACTGTCCTGGTGTGAAACTAACACCTTACCACATATTTCATGCCCAGCAATGGCCGCAGCCTTGCAGATAATTGACATGGACCCAGAGCAGCAGCTTCACACACCCAATATATTGGACATTACGACTGCTGTGGTAGAGATGCATGTGGACATCTGAGGCTCTTCATTGGACACGACAACAACAACAACTTTGCAGACGACTATTCCACTGATGGTTTTTCTGGCAAACATCATCCGTTCTCCAAGCCACTCTTGTTGTCTACTGCTATAAATGTGGTTAGACTCTTGCTCGTGTTACTCTTTTGACCTAACACTTGCATATGGAACATTTAGCACTGTATTTTATGTAATAAAACATAATAAGCCCTTTTGTCGTAACGTTTGCATCTTTATCATTTCGCACTCTATTCTATGTAATCTAGCGTGATCAACCCTTTTGTCTTAACGCTTGCATATGGATTTTCGCACTCTATTTTATGTAATAGAGCGTGATCATAACTTTTGTCTTAAGGCTTGCATATGGAACATTCCACGCTGTATTTTATATAGGCTGTCGTGATGAGCCGTTTTGTGAATTCTCGTAAGGATTGTTGGAAGTGTCACGAAAAATAGATCTCTTCTCCAAGTGTCTCGAGCGAAAGGAAAGAAAGACAGGGTAAAAAAAAAAAAACAGTCCGAGTTGATGCAGTCTGCCTGGTGGAATAATGGCTTGCCCAACGGAAATTTAATTATCACGGCTGAACGCTCAGCCACTAGTTATTTATCTCTGGAGAGATAAATGGCTCGTTTCATAAATATTTCTTTCTCTATCTTATATATATATATAGTATAGTTATGAGAATTTTAAGATTAATAATTTTTTTATTTAATTTAAACAGTGAGGTTTTTTTTTTTTATTATTTTTTGTAATAAATAATTAGTTAGATTATATTTTTAAAAAAGAAAAAAGTAACACCAGCAAAGCATCGGTATTTACGCGTCATAGGCTGGGTGAAAAAGGAATAAGCGAAGAGAAAGTTTTAAAGAGAAGAGCAAAGACAGAACCATGATAATAATTTTCCAAATATAAAATAAAGCTAATTAGAGAGAGAGAGAAGTATTATTTTGCTCTATTTTCTCTCTTGATGAAAGAAGATAAATTTTTGTGAATTTTTTTTTAAGCTTATTTTAAAGACAATCTAGTGTAAATGTGGAGGACACGATATAAGATAGTATATTAAATTAGGAAGGATGAAAACCTTAAAGGTTTCATCTGGTCTAACCTTTAAGGTTTTCATCCTTCCTAATTTCAATATTTTCCTATATTCAATACATTAATATCTGATTTTATGCCAAATAAAAGGAATCTAGGTTCAAAACCTGTAATTGTATGTGGGGTATTGTTGTATTCTTTGGTAACTTATGGAAGACTAGACGAATGGCCCGGGCAACGCCCGGGTTTTACCCGAGTGCGAATATATTTTAAAAACGTTGTCTTGGGTGGTCGCTATAGACAGGGTGGTCTGTATAGACAGGTGTATGTATCACACTGCTGATAACAGGGTTGCCTAAAGTGACCTCTATAGGCAGGGTGGTCTGTATAGACAGGTGAATGTAACACACTGATAATAACAGGGTTGCCTAAGGTGACCGCTATAGACAGGGTGGACTGTATAGACAGGTGGATGTATCACACAGCTGATAACAGGGTTGTCTAGAGTGGCCGCTATAGACAGGTGTATGTATCACACTGCTGATAACAGGGTTATCTAGAATGGCCGCTTTATACAGGGTGGTCTGTAAAGACAGGTGGATGTATCACACAGCTGATAACAGGGTTGTTTAGAGTGGTCGCTATAGGCAGGGTGGTCAGTGGTCGCTATAGACAGGGTGGTCTGTATAGACAGGTGGATGTAACACACTGCTGATAACAGGGTTGTCTAGAATGGCCGCTATAGACAGGTGTATGTATCACACGGCTGATAACAGGGTTTTCTAGAGGGAGGACACGTGTTCGCCGGCAGCCAATGGGCGCGCATTCTATCCGTGAGCTTCAGACAGAATAAGGCAATTATATATATAGATGTTCTGCCTATGAAATATTAGTCTTTGAGTTTATTTTACATTTTAATCTATTAACTATGGTAGAGTTGACCCTTTCTACTTTTTCATTTGTCTGAGGGTGGTGTGAGCTGTCAATAAGTGTTTTACACCATTATTTACTAAGAATATGTTTAAATCTATTGTAAATGCAGGAGCCCTATCAGTTAAAATTGATTCAGGTTTGATGGTTTGAAATAAAGTCTTTAAGCATGTAATATGAGTGTCAGTATTTGTATTTTTACTAGCAAATGTCCATAAATATCTGGTATGATGGTCAATAAGCATGGGAATGCAATGCTTATTAGAGCCATAGTTGTGTAGACCCCCTAAAGTATCAAGAGAAATAATCTGACCTGGGTGAGTGGCTATTGGCATTGCTTGTAGGGATCCATAAGTGGTCCTTTTGTCTCTATTTTTATGTAATTGACATATTTTTCAGTGTTCTACATGTTGAGTTATATCATGGGTCATGTTTGGCCAATAAAAATTTGGAAGAATAATTTTTGTTATTTGTGTAATTCCTATATGTCCATGATTTAAATGTACTTTTTCAATTAGCTTTCCTCACAGAGTTATTGGTACATAGGCTCAACAAGTCCTTTTTTTAATAGTATAAATGCCATTTTGTATTTTTAAGTTTTTGGAAGGTAAATCCTGTGATGTTTAGTGTTCTTTTATTTTTTCTAATGTGAAATAATATGAAATGGGTGCTCTAGATAGCATTTCTGCTTCAGTATTTAGAGTGCCTTTAATATATTTAATTTCAAAGTCATATTGGGATAATAGTAATGACCATCTTAATAATCTATTAGTTGGAATTTTAAGCGATTTTACCACTTTAAAGGAATATGATCTGTATGAAAAATAAAATGTTGATTTTAATATATGGATGGAATATTTTTATTGATGGCTAAAGTTTCAATCTCTGAGACAGTATAACCTTTCTCACATAAGGGTGCAATTTTCTAGAATAGAATGCTATTGGATATATGTAAAGAGCCTTTATTATCTGGTTGTTTTAAAACTGTTCCTACACCTATTGTTGAACCATCAGTGAAAATATGACAAGATTTGTCAGCGTCATAAATAAGAATTGTTTTTGATATAAGAGCATATTTAAGTGCTTGAAAAGCATTTCCCTGCTCTTTTGTCCATTCCCAGTTTTTATTTTTCTGTAAAAGAACATTCAAAGGATCTCTAATTTGTGCATAATTTGAAATGAATTTTTTATAAACATTGATGGATCCTAAAAAAGCTTTCAATGATTTAATATTGTTTGGTCTAGATAAGTTTTTAATGGCTTCTAGATTAGGGTTATTATGTGTGTAAGTTCCTGACTGTATTTGATGCCCTAAAAATTATATTTTTGTGCGCAAAAATTGGCATTTAGCAAAATTCAATTTGATATTTTCCTTTTTAAAAATTTCAAAAATATTTTCAAGTTGTTCAAGATGTTCTGAAATACCTGAAGAGTGAACGATAATATCATCAAAATAGTTTAAAACATATTAAATATTGTATTTAGTAAAAAGTGATCTTATAGTTCTTTGTAAAATTTATGGAGCATTATTTAGTCCATAAGGAAGTCTGTTCCACTCATAGCAGCCTGTTTGAGTAACAAATGCTGTTTTATATTTATCTTATTCTTCTATTGAGAGATGCCAGTATGCATTAGTAATATCTAATGTTACTCTAACGATGTAACTCTGTCAGAAAAGGTCGCAAATCTCCCGCGCTTCCTTGAGAAAGGCGTCCTAACTCTGTTCAGGAAGCTGAGGCTCGATGCCCAGTCTTACATGCAGGCCAGACAGACCCTCATAGACTTGTACCGCGAAACCAACGAAGCGTCATACCCGAAATTCTTCGCTATCAAATTGGCGGGGCATAATAGTCTCGAGGACTTTTACCGAAATAAGTGCGCCATGGGCCTTCAGCTGGGTCTCCCACAAGAAGTGCTATTTGAGACGCTGACAGAGGGCCTTCCAGCACGCGACCAGCGTCTAACCCGCGTGGCAGCCCCAAAATATCTAAGCGAGTGGTTCGACGTGGTGTCGCGTGTTCGCGGAAACAACGCTCCACCACCGAGGCAACAAGACGACGCCCTTCCGAACATGTCATGACCATTCCACAGAACACCTCAACGCGGCAGAACTGCTGCAGCACCGCCCTCACCTTGCCGCCACTGTGGAGGTCCGCATTGGAATGCGGATTGCCCCCACAAGAAGGGACACCTTAGTGCACGTGCGATGCACCGCGGCACAAGTACAAGGTCTGACCAAAGACAGACAAGACTGGAACCATCCCGGGAATCAAGACCAGCCCAAGCCGAGGAGAGCCACGTAGGCACCCCTGCCTCCTTTCGTCCAACAGCTAATTGTTAAACTATTCTTCCAACCCTGTCTATCCCTACCATTTCTTGTTGACACGGGTGCGAGCCTTAACATAGTGCCTCAAAATATGTGCCAGTACTTAAATGGAATTAAAAAAAAACTAAAAATAGAACCCCAAATC